ATGACATGGGAGAATGGAAACGCTTTGTCATTTTGACTTTGCCACCAACTCTAATGTGACTTTGAGTAGTCCCTGAACTTACTTGGGGCCCTGATTCCTCACCACCAAAATGAAAGGATTGAATGGTCTTTTTAGCAATTAATGTCCTACAGTTCTGAGTGATCCAGGCAACAAATGCCATAGGAGCACAGAGAAGAGAGGAGCTAGGGCTGCAGTGATCAGGCAAAACTTGGTGCAGGAAATGGGGCAGCAGCTGGACTGGGAAGGATTGTAGTCTTGTGATTGCCAAAGTGGATTGAGTTGGAACCTTCCTGGAAGGGGAAGGGGAACTTCCATGGAATTTAAGAGAAGCTGCAAAGATAAAAATTTATAAGGTATATTCACGGGAAATGAGTAGTCTTCTGTGGCAGGAGCAGAGATTTAATGTTGGGCAATAGCGAGAAATGAGCTTGTAAAGGTAGCTTATGTCAGGATGTCAATGGCCTTGAATGCTAGCCAAATGGAGTTTGTACTTCTTATAGACCATGGGAATCACTGAAGATTTTAAAGCAAGTGAGCAACAGGGCAAAAACAGTTTTAGAAAGATGAATTAGTGTCTCAAGAGAAATGGATGGTGGGACTCTTGGTTAGAAGGGATCTTCAACTGCAGGAGTTTCTAACCATAGAAAGACGTGGTGATTGTTTTTACTGGCTCCCATTTGTGATCCTTCTTCACTGAGTATTGGTATATGAATCAAGAATCAAGTTGAGTTAGAACTGTAACCATGCATGGCCTTCTCCCTAGAATGATGAGACCTTAGGATCTACCTCAGTGGATGGGACTCTAAAAGCTTCCCCAAAGCTTACTTGCCCATCCAAATGCTTCTCCACCATAGACAACTCAATATCACTCATTCCAATGAGTGGCACCTTAGAAATACTGGAAGAATGAAACCAAATGGAATTGTCTAATGGTCTGACCAACCTCATTGCTGAGAGAAAATGATAACACTGTTGTGCAGCTCACAAAATTCCTCTTCTCTTAATTGCTAAACTAGCATGATGTCATGTGTCAGATCTATAAAGGCAGAATGGCCTGTAGCTATCCACTGGGGGATGAAAAAGGAAGTATATTGATCATGGGGAACAGATACATTTTCCTTTGGGAAATCAGCCACCTCTGGTTTCTTCCTGACTTCATTCACATTCTGAGCTTTGTGGATAATTTAATTACTTGGGAGATCAAAGGACCCACAAGAGATCTCAACACACAAAAAAAGAGCTTAGGGAAAAGGGGAAAAAGGAAATTATCACATCATTCTGTTGAAAACTGGCATGCAATTCATTTTTCAATAAATTAAATTTCTAGTTATAGGGAACAATAGGCTGGAAGGCTTTGGACCTCGTAGCATTGTTAACTTTCTGGGAAGTGCTTTGGTCCTGGGAAGATTAAGATGTCATTTAACATAATACATAACATGCATCATCTTCTTGATTTTCTGTGTGCTAGGAAACCTTCTAAGGGAGGGGAACCTGAGGAGGCTCTCAGATACTTCGCCCATGTGATCATGCATGCTGTTGGATAGCTGAAGGCTATCTAAGGCTGTCCATGCCTACATGCAGGCTTGGCCTGTAGTCTCAGTGCCTTTTGTGTAAAGTGCTGTGATAAAGCTTTACTCACATTTTATGTAGTTACATATCTGTGTATATTAATGTTTTCTTTTTTCCTGTGCATATTTTTGTTTTAATAGAAGTTCTTTCATCTCTTTATTTGCCTGGAGGTGATAATCACCAAGATGGGGGGAAAAAAAACAAACAACAGAGAAGCTTTCTTGCTTCATAGAGTCCAGCTAAGCACAGTTTCTCCTGGGTGGTATGCATTTCAGGGAAGCAGCATGGTGGAATAGAAAGAACATGGATCTAGGGACTTAAAACCTGCTTTAAATCCCTGATCTACTATGTATTACCTGTGTGACCTGGGACATGCCATTTGACTTCTCTTGGTCTCCATTATGAGTCTTTAAAATGAGGGAGAGTGGATTAGATCTGAGGTGCCAAACTCCCAGTCTGCCTGAATGGGACCAGAATAAGATTTAAGTGTGATCAGGGAATATTTGACAAAATAAATTAAAATATAATAAATCATAGATAACATTAATTTGTGATTTTCTAAGTCAATATGCTTCCTGTAGATTTCCATTCCTAACTGAGTTTGACATTACTAGATTAGATGATGGTTAAGATTCCTTCCAGATCTCCATCAGGGATCCTATGTCAAGGTGTGTGGCTGATCCCACATTCCAGCTTCCCATCAGATGCTGGATAGCTCCCTACCTTGTTTTTTTTTCCCTCTACCCCCCCCTTACCCCACTCCCCGCCTCCACCAAACAAATAGTACCTTAAGAAGTATTAGAGGGGCAGCTAGGTGGCACAGAGGATAGAGCACTGGCCCTGAAGTCAGGAGGACCTGAGTTCACATCTGGCTTCAGACCAAATACTTGACACTTATTATCTGTGTGACCCTGGCCAAGTCACTTAACCCCAATTACCTAAAAAAAAAGCATTAGAAAAGCCTGCAGCAAGTCGATGATGCTGAAAGGGGCTAATAGAGTGTACATGGGGTCACAACGGACCAGCATCATGGTCTTGAAAGTTCGCCTACAGTGGGCTCTAGTGATTAACAGAGAGGAAGCTTAGGTGGAATCTTCTTTGACTCTGAGATGGGTCCTCTGATTCTGAGTCGTTTTCTGCTTCTATCTTTGTTTCCAGTGAAAGTTGTTTGCTATCCAAAATGAAACAAAATAAAACACATATACAACATTATTTTTGAAGTACTAACAACCTCCCATTTTTTAACAGAGTGCCAGCCCGAACTTAATTTATTAATTTGTCAAACTTTAGCCTCTAGTAATTACATTCTCCTGTTCTCTATTGATTCAGTTTCTTCAATGGGATCGGTCTGGAAAGCTAGGCTGGAGTGACCTTGTGAAGTATCTTAAATGTCAAAGAGAAAAATTTGCACTTTATCCCAGAGGTGATAAGGAACCAGTGGAGGGTCTTGTGCAGGGGGACTTGGTTGACTCTGTGCTCTAGGAAAATCAATTTGGCAGCTATTTGGAAGATGAATTAGAGGGAGATCATAAGATCAGAGAATCATAGATTCAGAGGTGGAAGGGTCCTTGGAGACTGAATCCAAATCCTTTATCTTAAATAAAGGGAAACTGAGGCATAGGGAGGTAAGGAGACCCTGGTTACACAGCTAGTAAGAATCTCAGTTTGAATCCAAGTGTCCAGTGCCCTATACACTAAGGCACATGATTAAGGTAGGGCTACCACTTAAGAGACTAATGCAATGGTCCAAACAAGAGAAGCAAAAGGCTTTCACTAGCATGGTGGTAATTTGACTATTAAAAAGTTGGATAAATATATAAAGATGTAGAGAATTAGAATCCACAGAGCTTGGCAGTGATTCATTATGGAGGTGGGGACTGAATGAAGAGTTGTGGATGTATCCTAGGTTGTAAATATTTATAACTGATAGAATGGCAGTGATTTTTTTTAGTTAATTGGGGTTAAGTGCTTGCCTAGGGTCATACAACTAGCAAGTGTCAAGTGTTTGGTCTGAGGCTGGATTTGAACTCAGGTCCTCCTGACTTCAGGGCCAGTGCTCTATCCACTGTGCCACCTAGCTGCCCCTCTGAATGGCAGTGATTTTGAAAGAAAAATGGAAAGTTAAGAAGAGACATAAAATTTCTGGAGAAAATAATAACTTCTGTGTTGGAAATATTGAATTTGAGATAGCTGTGTGATAATCTGCTAGAGGTTTGGAGGTGCAGTTAGAGGTGTGGGCTTTGAGATATGAAAGATGAGATATGCAGATTTTGAAGTCATCTCAGTGGAGATGGCAGAAGTTTGCTTGGGAGACAGTGAGATCTCTGAGAAGTCAAGTCAAAGAAGAGGAGAGGCCCCAGGCCTGAGCTGTGAGGTACAGCCACATAAAGGCATCTGAATATGGATAGATAAGAATGATCCTACAGAGAAGCCAAAGAACAAGAAATTGGACAGGTCAAAAGAAGATCAGTATAAAGCAATGGCACAAAACTCCAGAGGGCAGAGGCTGTTCAACAGTGCAGAGAGGTCAAGAACAGTGAGCATTGAGAAGAAGTCACTTAACAGTATCGGAATTGCTAACGGCTTTGGAAAAAGCAATTACAGTCAGGTGGCAAGAGACAGAAGCCAAACTGCAAAGGGCTAATACTGAGGCATTATGCTAGAAGATCCTTTATCACATTATAAAGTGGACTGGCTTTTCTAAACACTGATACACATAGATAGATAGATAGATAGATAGATAGATAGATAGATAGATAGATGATGTAGATCTATCTAACCTATCTATCTACCTAATCTTATCTATCTATCTACCTAATCTTATCTATCTATCTATCTATCTATCTATCTATCTATCTATCTATCTATCTATCTATCTATCTATCTATCTGTCTATCTAGCTGCCCATCTATATTTAGGACTGTTTTCCAACCATGCTGTTGTTCAGTAATTTCTTGGCAAAGATACTGGAGTAGTTTGCCATTTCCTTCTCCAGCTCATTTTATGGATGAGGAAACTAAGGTAAACAGTGACTTGCCCAGGTCACACAGCTAAGAAATGTCTGAGGCCAGTTTTGTACTCAGAGAGAGAGTCAGGGTTAACTTCATATAACTTATAAGGGATAACTTTTTCAGGCAATTCTTTGAGCCAAAGTTGCAGAGAAGGTCTTGATCTGTACTTACAGATTCCCCTTAATAGGAATTCCTTAAATCAATGAAATCACAGGCTTTAATCCTCTGCAGTTGGGTAGCCTCATTTTGTATCTTTCAATTGAAAGAGATTTTTTTTTTCTTTTAGACGGACCCACATGTGGATGATAATGAATGGAAAATTGCCAAAAAGCTCATTGGATACCCAGGTCAGATATGAACACATTGTAACAAGTCACTTCATTTGATTTCCTCTTTCAGTATGAATATTTCAATGCAGTCCTGATTAATGAACAAGATGAGGAAGGAAAATATTTGGAGCTGGGGAAGGAGTTCATCTTGGTTCCAAATGACCATTTTAACAACTTGCCTGTCAACATTAGTCTGAGTGATGTTCAAGTTCCAACCAACATGTACAACAAGGGTAAGTCTGGCGTGCAACCATTTGATATTTGGGCTCGGGAACTCGAGCTGGGAGGAATCAGGTCACCTATGCCTGAGACCAGGAGAGGACTGTGTTGACAAATTAGGTGGAGATCCAGGCAAGATCTGTGGACAGACCTAAAGTAACTGCTTTTCTTCCTGCTAAGGATCTCTCCACTGTTTCTGTGCCTTTTAAAACTGTATTTGATTCTATCCACCCATCCATCCATCTATCTATTTATCCCTTCGTCTATCTATCTATCTATCTATCTATCTATCTATCTATCTGTCTATTTTTAAATGAAATGTCTTGAAGGGAGTGTTGCATAGCACATATGTTGTTGGACAGATATGGGATTAGAAATCTAATGTGTGTTAGCTGTGTGACATCTCTGAGCCTCCTTGGGCAACTCTCATCAACATATCTCTTAAGATTAAACATTGTGACACACATATGAAATCCCAGTGGCTTGATTTATTGTCCTAAATGTCCAGAAAAACGGAAATGTGACATTCCCAGGCCTCTCTCTCCTTTACATGTCTAGCACACAACAGTGTGGAGCAGAGTGGTGGAAGGCCATGTGATATAGAAAAGGAAGGAATTGCTTCTCATTCTGCCCTTGTATCATCAGGTCTATCACTCAAAATACATTTATTAAATCCCTACTATGTGCCAGAGCTGTGCTTGGTGCTAGGGATACAATTAAAAAGAATAAGATAGTTACTACTCTCAAAGACTTCATTTAGATCATGAGCTCCTTGAGAGCAGGGACCATCTTTTGTCTCTTTTGTAACCCTAGTGCTTAGCAAAATGCCTGGCACATAGTAGGCATTTAATGACTATTGACTATGCCAATTGACTTTTGAATTGGGACAGAACAACTGCATATATAAACATGTACAGAATGATATGAGGTAATTGAATCCAAGATTGTTGGGGAGAGAGAGTGCTAGAACTGAATCTTGAAGAGAAATAGGGATTCTCTGAGACAGAAATGAGTAGTGAGTACAGCCCTTCCATGGGGAATAGCTGGTGCAAATGTGCTTGGACATGGGAAAAGGAGGTGCAGGAATATAAAGAAGGGCCATTGAGGTGTATTCCAAATGTGGAAGGGAGAGTGATGCCCACTGAGGCTGGAAAGCTAGATTGGGACCAGGCTGAGAAGGGCTTTAAAAGTAAAACAGAGAAGCTTGTATTTTACTCTGGAGTGAGTAGGAAACTGCTGCTTCATTGAGTACAGAAGTGACACAATCATGTAAGTAACTAAATCATTTGGGAAGCTATGTAGAATATGGACTAGAATGGCGAAAGGCTTGAGGCAGGGAGATCAGGTAGGAGAGGCCACTGCAAAATTAGGTTGAGAAGTTGTGAGGGCCCATAATAAAGTGGTAGACATGTGAGTAGAGAGAAGGTGGTGGACATGAAAGATGCTTGGGCAGCAGAATTAGCAAAATTTGATAACTAAGCTGAAGTGCTGGAGAAGGAGGGAGGGAGGGAGAGAGAGAGGTGTGTCAATGGTAGCACTCATATTATAAGCCTGGGAGATTGAAGAATGATCAAATTGGGAAGTTTGGAAGAAGGAAGGACTTCTTAAGTGAAAATAAGTTTAGTTTTGGATATGAGTTTGAAACGTCCCTGGGAACATCCAGCATGAAATGTCCAAGAGACGGTTGGTGATAAGGGCCTTAAACTTAGCAGAGATTGTGGGCTGGATATATAGCTCTGGCAGTCATGAACAGAGAGATGCTCATTAAACTCATGAGAGCTGAGGAAGTTACCAAATGGGAGAGTGTGGAGAGGAAAGAGGGCCCAGCGGAGAATCTTGGGGAACACCTCAGGTGGGTGTGTGAGCTATGGATAATCACCTAGCAAAGGAGACTCAGAAAAAATGGATGGGCAGGTAGAAGAACCAGGAAAGAGTAGTATCATGAAAACCCAGACAGCAGAGAGTATCCAGGAAAGAGTGGATATCATTGTCAAATGCAGCAAAGAAGGCATGAGGGAAGAAGATATCCGAGGAAAGACCATCCAGTGTATCTCTTAAGTGATCACTGGCAACTTGGGAGAGAGCAACTTCAGTGGAGTGATGAGATCTGAAGCCAGATTGCAGGGGGCCGAGAAGGGAGTGAGAAGACAGGAAATGGAAGCAGTGAATGTTATCAAAATTTTCTAGGTGTTTGGCTGAGAAAAGGAGAAGAGATAGAGTGGTATATTCTGAGGGCTGATAGTGTCTAGTGACGGTTTCATATTGGGGTGAAACTGGGGCACTTTTGTAGGGTTTTGTAGGGCAGCAATAAGTAGAGGGGGAGTGATTGAAGATTAAAGAAGGGTGGGGAACCTCGGTCTCGAGGCCACGTGAGGCTCTCTAGGTCCTTTGGTGTGCCTTTTGATTGGGTCTAAGTTTTACAAAATAAATCTTTTCTGAAGAGGATTTGTTCTGTCAAGTTTGGACTCAGTCCAATGGCTGCAGAGCAAAATCAACATGACCAGCACAGCATGGGACCACCTTCAATTTCACCTCACCTGGAAGTTAGCTAGCCAATCATTTAATTCAAAATGTCTCCAAAATAACATTTCATCTTCTACTAAATGTTCTCTTGGGCTCTTCCTATCTCCTATGTACAGAGCAACTCTATTTCCCCTAAAAACCTTCTGAACAATTGACCAAGGTCAACTGGGCTACCCAATACAGTTTGGACAGGAAATGAAAGACTGCTCAGAGAGACAGGGAAGGGGACTTCAGGAAAATGACTGTTTCCATTTTGCTGAGTTCAAACCATACCCAACCAGTCATGTTTTTTTGTAGCTACGGGAGAATATTTTGTCTTTCAAAGTCTCCAGCTCAGAAATGTCCTGCTGATTTCTTTAAGTGTATGTATGGAGCTTGGACTTTGGCTTTGATGAATCCATGCTGGTTAGTTGCTTCACACAAAGGAAAGACTTGCGTGTTTCTTGACAGCTTAAAGTCATGTGAGTCAAATGGGATTCACTGATTCTACTTAGATGCTGGCTATGGTCTTGTGCTAGACATCAATGGCAGTTGATGTTGAAATCTGAAAACTACTATGTGTTCTGGATTGCCCAAGATGACTTCTGTATTCAGTCCACTAGCATAGAAAGTAGGCATATCTTGATGTTTGGCCAAAATATCTCCTCTATTTCTCCTTTTTTTGTACAGTAAGTAATGAAACAGAAGGGCCGTTGTGAACCAGTGGTCACCATGGAGAGCATTCGCTTTAATGCCATAAGTAATTATTGAGCACCTACTGTGTTCCAGACATTCCTCTGGTTGCTTGGAATGCACAAACAAAAACTAAGAGTTCCTGCACTCAAAGAGTTTAACTGTTATGGAAAGGGCATATAGAGATAAATAAATACAAATAATTTATAAAATAAATGCTAAGTAATTTTGATGGGAGTGAGCACTGATAACTGGGGTAGTCAGAAAAAAAGCCTCACGTGGGGCCTGATTGTGTCTGAGCTGAGCCTTTAAAAAAACTAGTGATTCATTGATGTAAAAGTGAGGAAACAAAAAGTGTTCTACACATGGTGGGCAGGCTGTAGATGAAACAATATATGCAAGGAATGGCCTTATTGCCCAGAGATGACCATCCCCCCACAAGTCTGGCTTCAGGATTTCTACCCTTGGCTCTTAGGATGCTGTTTTTTGAGTTTTGGTTGCTTTATGGAAGATTCTGTGCAGGTTGCCATTTTGGCTTATGGGCCCTCTGCATTAAGGAAGAGTTCCTCCCAAGGGATTTTTTATTGAGAGTGAGGCTTTTGACCATCCCTGAGAGGAGGCTATGACATTCCTGAATTTTATCAGAAATACAAATAGACATCAATGAAGCAAGTCACCTGAGCCTGGCAGACAAAACAGCAAATATGTAACAAGGTTAGGACCACTTCGCTTGTTGATTTCAGCCAAAAGCCTTCCCTTTCCAACCTGACTTTGCTCTTAGAAGGTTCAGCCCCGGGCAAATTAGGCTAAACTGAACATTGCAGGCAGTCTTGGAGAAAGAAATTGGGAGTCAAGGTGAGGGAGGACATCACGGATGTCAAAAGGTAAAAATGTAATATGGGAAAAGTAGCAAAGAAAGAGGGCAAGTTAGAAACATGAGAATTATGGTGGGAACAGAGGGCGTGGGGTTGGCACGCAGCCCCCTTCCCCAAACTTTCTTAAGCTGCCTTGGTGATTGTAGCCCTTTGAGGTTCGCAAAGCCCTTTACACAGCCTATCTTATCTGATTACCATAATAACCTCATTGTTGATCAGCGTGATGATTATCTCCCTTTTTAAACTGAGGCCCATGAATTTTGCATGACTTGTTAGTAAGTATCTGAAGAATGACTTAAACACAGAATGCTCATTCCAAATCCAGCCGCCTTTCTCCACATCCACTAGAAGTGTTTTGGTGTTTTTTAACCCCAAGAGCTATTGTTGTATCCCAGCTATCTGGTCTCTATTGAAGTAAAAGTGAGTGGAAAAACACAGTGACTGTGGGAAATGGCTTTATGATTTTTACAGCAGGAACAACTCTGTTCAAATAAACAGTAAATAAGAGGCATGGACCTGGGCCTAGATGCCACCTGTGTAATGGATTGTGTCACCTTGGGCATTTTACCTAACCCCTTGGATTCTCAGGTGACTCCTAAGACATGTCCACTGAGTTAAAGATGGGCTGTGACCTGAGTTAGTACTTGACTCACAAAATCACAGAGCATGGCTGTATTGATTTAAGGACAAACCATCTGTTTGTCTGAGGCTTTCCCAGAGGGCTTCTTAGGATAGATGGATAGTTAGAAATTTCTTCAGAATTGAATTGCAAACAATATCACATATATTGGAATCATAGGTGATATTGGCAGGGGTGGGGGGAGTGTAGAGTATTCTAGATTATTTGGCCAGAATGCAGAGGACCTAGTGAGGTTTGAGCCTCACTTCAGCCTGTTTGGGCAAGTTTGAGCTTCAAGTGAAAAATAAAGATATTTTATTAGTGG